TCTGGTTCTAAAGATACATTTAGTGATGTCTTTATCTAGCGATCTACATTTTGTTTTATGATCGGCAACATTTTGTAACGACAAATATTTCTATTTGTCGTAACAAAATGCTGCCGATTGTAAAATAAAATACAAACAAGAGTTTTGATGTATTTTCAAACAGCAACAGACTATATCCAAAACGGACATGATTTGCACTAAGAGATATTTGACAGATTGCCAATTACAGCATTTAATATGAATCAGACTCACGCTAACGACATGATTAATGGTTTGGAGCTAATATCGTACATTCAGTTAATGATAAGTATTTAAATAATTCATAAACTCTCGGAAATTTAATACCTGTGTAGAGAATGCTAATGCATCAAATACATGATAGAGCAGCTATACTAGTGTAAATGTATACCGACCTCACAACAGTATATTCGGTACAAAAGACTTAGCTCGAAACCATGTTCTTTTAAAAAAACAAACGTATGGGCAAAACAAAAACTGTTATCATAACAATAACACATATCGATAAGCTGTTTTCAGCATTTGTCGAAATTGTTGGCACAAGCAAACGCGGTTTAACGTGTTGACACCTGTCTGTTTTAAGGAGAAAATATTGTAAATTACTAATATTAATACAGCCTAATTATATCAATATTGTTTAAAATGAATTATTCTGTAACCATTTTAGGTCGCAATCGGGCATAAAAGATGTCACTTGATTTAAGATTTTATGAAATGTTTCTTTTAAACCAGAGCATAACGAGACATTGAAGGAGTTTAACATATAGTTGGGACACAGTAAAATACTTCATAGATTTATTTCACAAGAAAAGAAAGCGTCATATATATATTTCGTTATACGTTCGGTACATTCAAATTGCAAATAGCTCAAGAATAATATAAACCAAATATCAAGCCCATCTATGTGATATCTTTTTTTACCCCGGTAAAGGAGTTTTAGGAACTGACAACGAGTGTATATTGTTGTGTTCTGTAATACGGCTAGAATTCATTTATCGCTCAAATTGATTGGCTGCGTTACTCGTTACACATGGCGGACTCACAGTTATCTTAGGTATTGTAAAATTAAAACAAAATACTACGACAGTCTAAATGTAATCAAAGGAGTAACCATGACATCGATTTCACCTAAACGGAAGTAACATGTGAGCGTCAGGTGTATATGTTTGTGCGTAAAGCAATAAACAACACGATGCGTAACCAACATGGCAACTGATTATGATGACACAACGATACCATGGCATACATGCTAACTTCAAACGTGATGATACGGAGTCGATCACAGCCTCGTTATTGATTTTGTGTTTTTTTAGTCATCTTCAATTAAGGGTATCACTTAAGTTCATGTCAGTCCCACATAGCACACTGTGATGGACATGTATTATTATAAAACATCGGACACTGTACTGTGAGATGCACTGGCTACGATATTGTAAAACGCCGAACACAGAATCTTGACACAATAGTTACTGTATCGTGAAATACCGGTTCTGTATCGTGATACATCGGGTTCTGTATCGTGATACATCGGGTACTGTATCGTGATACATCGAGTAATGTATCGTGAAATACCGGGTACTATATCGTGATACATCGGGTACTGTATCGTGATACACTCGATACTGTATCGTGATATTGGGAACTGTATCGTGAAACACCGGGTACTGTATCGTGATACAATGGACACTGTATCGTGATACACCGGTCACTGTCCCGTAAAACGCTATGTACTGTTTCGTGATACTGTATCGTGATATACCGGGTGCTGTATCGTGATACAATAGGTACAGTATCGTGATACACTGGATACGGTATCGTGATAAACTGGGTACTGTATAGTGATACACCGGGTGCCGTATCATGATACAATAGGTACTGTATCGTGATACACTAGGTACTGAATCATGATTCACTGAGTACTGTATAGTGATACAACGGACACTGTATCGTGGTATACCGGTCACTGTATCGTAATACACTGAGTATTGTATCTTTAGACGCTGGATAATAGTTCTACTATATTAGTTTACCCCCAATCCTTTGCTGTTATATTGTACATAGAACAGGGGAATAGAAATGTCAAATATTTTAGTACTCTAGTATGAATAACTAAGTAAGAAACCATTGCGAAAACATACAGAAAAGATTGAGACAACAACACACAACACTTTGAAGACATTAAGACAAAGTATTAACCATTTTAGCCCACCATCATCAGATAGTGGGCTATTCAAATCATCCTGTGTCCATGGTCCGTGGTCCGTCCGTCCGTCATTCCGTCCGTCCGTAAGCAATTCTATCTCAGAAAGTATTGGAGGGATCTTTCTCAAACTTCACATGAAGGTTCCCAATGATCCTTAGTTATGCATATCATTTTTTGCGACTGATCACAAAACCAAAATGGCCGACAGGCAGCTATCTTTAATTTGAAAGTTAAAGTTTGTTAGCGCTAAGTATTTTGGGACTGATTGCAAAACCAAGATGGCCGACAGGCAGCCATCTTGAATTTGAGAGTTAAAGTTTGTTAGCGCTGTTTCTCAGAATGAACTAAAGGGATCTTTCTCAAATTTCACATGAAGGTTCCCCATGATCCCTAGTTATGCATATCGTATTTTGGGACTGATCGCAAAACCAAGATGGCCGACAGACAGCCATCTTGAATTTGAGAATGAAAGTTTGTTAGCGCTTTTACTCATAAAGTATTCAAGGGATATTTCTCGGACTAAACATATAGGTTTCCCAATGATCCTTAGTTATGAATATCGTTTTTTGAGACTGATTACAAACCCAAAATGTCCAACAGGCAGCCATCTTGAATTTGAGAGTTAA